CTACTCCGCGTTCTCTCGCTCCTAATCTCGGAGAATCTGGCAGCCGCTTTAATCAAAGGAGTTTGCACTGTTTCTTCATGGAGCTAATTTAAGGAATTTTAAACACGCGCCGGACAAAACCAGGCGGTAGGGGCCTATTCCTGATCCCACGGCCCGAGGAGAAACTCTTCTGAAGCCCAGGGAATTAGCCCCACGTAAATGGGCTCAGAATCAGCCTCCTGATCCGGATTTTACCAGGCGGTAGCCTGTAAAGGCAAAGTTTACCGGCAAAAAAAAATCTCTACCAGTCTGATTCGGACTTCCATTTACTTTCAAACGTTGACTTGTAGCCATCTTTGCAAGTAGATGCTTACAGAAATGCAACGCCTTCACCAGGAACAGATATATTCTTTATTAGCACGACGTGTGCTTAAAGAAAGATCTTTTAAACAGCACTGCATGCTGTACAATGGCTGAACAGACAGCTCGTTATTACCGAGCACACGGAGCACTGGGAGCTGTACCTAGCACAGCTCTGTGTGTTCAGCTCGATTAAAAGTTTTGTGAGCGAGAGGTGCTCCCAGATAGAAACACGTGCTCCTAGATTGAAACATTTCTCTATTCCTCGGTAAAATGAACCGAGTAACCTTCTTTTCGCCCTGTGAAAATACACTAAGGCAGATTTAGCAGTCTCCCAAAGCGGGAGGATTTGATCACCAGTACGAGTGGAGAGTAGAGAACAGAAGAAATGGCCATGATCCCCCCCTCCCCGGAGCCGCCCCCTCCGCATCAGTTTGTCTTGCAGTTATTCAAAATGATTGAGCTTTCTGAAGAAGGCCCTTTATGGAGAGAACAAAACCAGCAACAAGCTCTTCCCCAAAAAACAACATGAATATCAACCTGTCCACTGGCAGGGCTTCGGAGCTTAGAGGCATTATAATAAAATTTACGGCGCCCTTAACAACTCCCAAGTAAAAGCATTAAAATTCCCTTTAATTGAGAAAATATTGATTTTTAACTCTAGAAGAGCGAAATCGTAATTTAACTGCAAACTTTCACCGATATAACAGCATTTTAGGGAGACAATATTCCATCTTTAATAGAGATCACTTACGAAGTGATAAAAGCAAAGAAAACTTGACAAATAGAGAGACAACTGCATTTGTGAAAGAAGTTATTTGCATTCCCTATCCTCTTCGTAGCTCCAGACAATCGTACTTATTTTCCTTCCCCCAATTCTCTAAACACAAGTGTAGAAGGAAAGGATTTTGGATGTAGAAGAGAAGCAGCAGTGCAGTTCATATTAAAATTAATGATTTGCCTTTACCAGGCAAGGAATGATGACAAGAGATTTAAGGAAACATTTTCACAAAATGGTAGCCTCTTTTAAAAAGGTGACTAATTTTATAAAATTTTCTTACTTTTCCTTGTTCGCTAAAAAAATCATTGCTAAAAGGAAAGGAAGGGGAAATCCCACCCTCGCTTTCTATCTTATTTCTGTATCGGTTTTTGGTATTATAGAAGAGTAAAGAAGTTTTTGTTTGGTGGTTTTTCATTGATCAGTCACTCTGAGCTAATGTAATTATCCTCATCAATAGAAGGCTGCAGAGAGAATCATTATGTGGGTGACATTGATAAATGATCACCCAAGAGCTGCCTTTTCTCTTGGGCACCCCCACATATGACCCTCCCACATACACAAGGTAGCCATAGAAACACCTTGAGATCTTCAAACACTGCTACAAATGGGAGAATACAGAGAAAGCGAGAGAAATCCAACTTCACACACTTTCTGTCCTTGCTGAAACCTCTCCTCCGCTCTGCGTCCTGCCCCGCAGGCGCGCAACCCGAGCCCCTCTCACTCTCACCCACATTAAGCTGTATGGGGGAGGGAGGGTTGCTTGTGATGGAGCTTACTTCTTTTTTTTTCTTTTTTTTTTTTTCCTGAGAGATTTAAATAATGAGGTTGCATGCATCGTATGGGTATATTGGTATTTTCTCTACGTGCAATGTAAAACCCACTAGTCTGGAAAGTCGCTCTTTAAGATGCGCAGTTAAAATACCCACCATCACCTCAATAACTCCGCGGGCTAGCCACTCTTGGAAAGTGGCTAAACTCGAATTATTAGTATTTTATTAGTCATATGGCTATATGGGAAGATGCTGTATTTCTTTCTAAAGCAGAGATTGATGGGTTTTTTTTTCCAGCCGTAGAGCCCCTTTTTATATAAGCAAATACGAAAATATTGAGGCAGTAATTGATTCATAATGATCCATAAATCGATGCGAGGAAGGGGCCGAGGGTGTTTATTTATTTTATTCCTAAAGCTGCATGTAAAGTAGCTTTGACACCGTGTGGGGATGAAGGGGAGGAGTTGTTTGGCTGTGCGGGGTCATCCATCATCACTGTCGCAGAGACTCTGCCCAGAGGAGCAACCTCCCTTCTGTCTGTCTCTTTCTCGCCACCAAAACTATTAATATTAAAATCTGCCTTCAAACCTTTCCCTCACCCGCCTCTAATCTCACACAGTCCTTCTCCATTCAAAGATGCTGGGCTTCCCCTGCCTGGTAGCAGGCTATCGCTTGTCCAGCGCCATCGGGTTTTATTTTTCAAAAAGTACAGAAGGCTTTAAAGCCAACCCCGTTTTCTCTTGATTTAACCCAGGGACGCGGCAAGGAAGACTTGTAGGGCGGAGATATCCCTCTAAGACCGTGAAGCCCTCTCCTGCCCCTCTAAACACAGCTCCTGGAAGCAGCCGCGTGTAAGGAAAGGATTTGGGAATTTTCCTGGATCCACTGGATTTCCTCTCAATAAGCTACATGAAAGGTGTAGTTAAGTTAGCGGTTCCGGATCGTCCCCTCGCAAAGGCACTGCAGGGCAGACCCTCCCGCTCCTCCTGAAATTACGGGACTGCCGGACTAACAGGGAACTTGTGTACCAGCACTCGCTGCTTCGGATGGGAAAAACGGGTTCCATCTTGTGACAGCTGCTAGATAAATTTGCCACATGCTTTTCCATGTCTCCTTCCCCCTCCCCCTGTCCCCCCCCTTCCCTGCCTCTCCATTGATGCTTCAACTGTTTAAATGCAGCAAAATCTGGAAGAAAAATCCCTCATTTGTGGTGACTACAACTCCCAGCCCAGAATCGCTCAGAGAAATGGAAGTTTGGGATTATAAACATGTGTATGTGTAAACAAAAGGTGTTTTTCTGTTACCCTTCGTTTCCCAGCGCATAAGCGATTTTTATTCAGGCTACAGTATTTCCTTTCACACCATACCGCTGTCAAAACATTATTCCCGTTTTTGGTTGCTTTTGACAGCTGAGCAGTTCTTAAAAACACCAAAATCGGAACCTTCCATACTAAACAGTATATCGCAGACGGAGAAATCTCTCCACGCTATTGTACCTTGGATTTCAGCAACACATCTCACGGAGAGCACAGCTCAAAAGGGGGGGGGGAAAGAAAATAAAAGAAAATAAAAGACAACACAGCAATACAGATATTTAGTTCATCATAAAAACAATAACCTACTAAGGATAAATTGCTCAGTTTCCTTCTACCAGTGCAAGGACATTTTCTGACATTTCTCCTAAAAATATAAAGACAAGATCTGCAAAAAAATAAAGTACTTACTTTTTCCCGCATCCACAAAAATAACAGAATTCGAAAATAGGAGCCCGGGGTGTGCTCTTCTTACAGGACTCAAGGGTCGAAGCGATTTTAGTCAGGACAGAAAGCATGAAAGCCAAATGTGGAATTCATCATCCTTTAAATTTCATACGAATGCCTTAAAAAGACGCCTACAAAGCGGGACCCGATTGCTAAATAAATCCTCACACCCATTCTACTGGCATCCTCCCTTCTGTTGCCAGCAGCGTGGGTCCATTTACTCAGCTCAGAAATTAAACATTAACTACTAGGCTGAAAGTCTTTCGACATTCCAAAGGTAAAAGTTGTCAGTCAAAGTTTTTAATAACACACCAGCCATTTGGAATGAGGAGGAGGAAGGAAGGCAGGGGTTACAAATTTACAAATGGTTAAACCGGTAACATTTGTTTCCTAGAAAGTTAAGATAATTTCAATCCCATTCCCACGTCTCTTCCCCTCCACCCCCCCCCCCCCAAAAAAAAACAAAACACCTTCGTTGAGCCCCATCCTGTTCCCACTGACTTGATAGTGCCACTAAGTGTAGTGAAATGAGGCCAACTTTCTAACAACAATTATTCCCTAGTTCAAACTCTCCTTTAATTGCTTCAAAATGCTACAAGCTTTTGTTTAAGTAAACCCAACCCTCATCCATGATTCTTCATCAGCTATTTATATTTAAAATGACAAATTAACATTTTTACTCATTAGTTGATGGGTTCTTTTTTTCTTTTGAAAACAAAGGAAGAAAAGAAAAGCAATAAAAACATCTCAAAAGCTGGATTATGCAATGCTCACACAGGTAAAACTCTCATTAAACTCAAAGCTGCTTTTCTCTTCCTAAAACTTCTGAACCTAGTCCGGAGTTAGTCATTCTTCATCTCTGAGCTAAATAGCTGGAGTTAAAGTCTGTGGTGATTACGTATGCGCGTGTACACATACACACACACATACACATGCACACGCGCGCACACACACACACACACACACACACGCTTATCTTTAACCCAAAAGGGCCTACTAGTTTTGTCAGATTATGGGCATCCACAACTCTAACTGAACATCCATCTTATTAACAGACAGATAATACAGATATTAGATATAGCTCTATGAAAAACAATCTGATGAGAGAATATTTGGAGTTTTGTTTAATCTTGTATGATATAGACATAATATTTATAATCAGCAGAAATATAAAACCTCAGTTCTCAGTCGTTATTTCATCCAATTATTCAATTAATGCTGATGATAGGCTTGTTTCTGTTACTTCCAAACTTTCTTCTCAATGCTGATAAGAAATATTTTTGAGATATCTTTCCCAATAACTTCAGTCTCTCCTAAGCATGATTAAAAACACAAAAGCCTAACAAAAAA